CAGAGAGTTCTGGGATACAGATCAATTGGCTCCGTCAGTAGGGCTTTGGAGCATATTGGAAATCTATTGCCGTGTCTTGCTCGGATCTATAGATGGGGCTTCAGGTATCAGAAGTCAGGAACTTATTTCATATGTGGTGATTATAAAATCACTTGAAGAGGAATGCTAGGTGTCAAACTTACTGTTAGTAATTGTTGCATCAGTTTAAAAAAAAATGTTTTAGTATCTAAACATATTTTAATATGTACTTTCACTTACATTGATTTCTTTACCGCCATCAGTCCTGGTAAAACACACATAAACATGCACTACTTGACAAAAGTTTATGTCGATTCTAGTTGTAAAAGCAACAAATAATAACTTGACTTTTAGTTGATCATTTAGAAAAATGACAGAAGGTAGATTTTTCAGATGAACCATCTGTTGAACTGCATCCCAATCATCACAAATACTGCAGAAGACCTAATGGAACTTACACAGACTCAAGATTATCACAGAAATCAGTCAAGTTTGGTGAAGGAAAAATAATAGTTTGGGGTTACATTCAGTATGGGGGTGTGGGAGAGATCTGCAAAGTGGATGTTAACATCAATAGACTGCGGAATTAAGACATTTGTGCTGCCCTTTACATTACAAACCACAGGAAAGGGCAAATTCTTCAGCAGGATCGCACTCCTTCTCATACTTCAGCCTCCACATCAAGCTTCCTGAAAGCAAAGAAGGTCAAAGTGCTCCAGGATTGGTCAGCCCAGTCACCAGACATGAACATTATTGAATAAGTCTGGGGTAAGATGGATGAGGCATTGAAAATGAATCCAAAGAATTTTGATGAACTCTGGGAGTCCTGCAAATACGTCTGCTTTGCCATACCAGATGGCTTTATTAATAAGTTTTTTGACTACACTGCACCATGACTTAATGTTCTATACTGTTAATGATTTCTGTTAAATGACAAGACTTTTTATCTAAGCAAAGTCAGACCTTACTGTCCTAATGTAATAATTAAAAATCAAGGCATAATCATATTTTATTTTGGCAAAATAAATGTAATCTAGAGGTCTTTGCTTTTCATATAAGAAACTTCTGATATCAAATGATCAAATAGAAGTTAAGTCATGTTGTTTATGTGTTGTTCCTAAAACTTGGATAGGCAACAAGACTCTTGTCAGGTAGTATAATTCATTTTAAAGAATTAGTTCACCTAAAATCTTCAATTTTGTTATCAATTACCCATCCTCATGCGGTTCCAATCCCTTAAGACCTTTGTTCATCTTCCGAACACAAGTTAAGATATTTTAGATCTGACGGAGACAATCAGAGAGCTCTCTAATCCTACATAGACAGCATTGCTCTCAAGACGTTTAAAGTTCAGAAAGTCCAAAAAAACATTTAATGTCACTTCAGTGGTTCAACTGTAATCATAGAAAGCTCTATCTACTTGTGTGTTCCAAAAGAACTGTAAGAATGGCTTTGTTGGCCTATATGCTTTGGATCAGACAATAGTGTGCATTTTTGTGTTTTGAAGATAAAGTTTTCAGGGGTTTAATATGAGGGTGAGATATTAAGAACTAGCCCTTAAGGGTTTAAACACTTTACATTGCAGCTTGCTTGTTTGTTTTTTCAACATTGAATCACAGGAATAAATTACATTTTAAAAATACATTCAAATAGAACATAACTTTACTGTAAAATATTAAATAAAAATCCCAATTTTACAGTATTGTTTTTCTATCTTTGTAATTTAATAAATGCAGCAATGGTGTGCATAAGAGACTTATTCCCAAACATAAAAGTAAACCCTACTGACCCAGAACTGATCAGCAGTTCTGTACATCGGTTGAGACAGGAGTGTGTCAATGTACGTGAAGCTAAAGAGAGAAAGGTGTGCTACAGTACAAGAGAAAGAGCTTTCAGATATCCAGAACTTGCTGGGAGGTTAATTGCATTTGTAAAGGGCAGAAAATTAATTGAGTTTAATGTCAGAGGCAGCCAGCTGGTGCATCCCTTTCATGTACGCACCCGCTTATAGAAATTAATAACATATTAATATTACAGTAGGCCTCTCCTTTTCATGTTGTGCTAAAGTGTCTACATGATTAGTGTTACGCCACTCACGTATTTGCCAATTAAGCAGGGAATTGTTAAGAGTAATGACATTAATGACTTTAAGAGCTGACAATCATTACTCATTTACGCCTCGTTGTCTCTAAATCTTCATTCGCTCGAACCCCCGCAGGGAACGAAGAGAGATGCAGTGGCTGATTTAACATTTTCTGTCATAACAAATTATCACCGCAGAAACCACGAAAGAGCACTGCAGAAATCGTCCACACTGAAAGTTTTGTTATTTATTGTTTTTTGTTATTATTATCGGAGTTTGTGACATCACTTTATAGACGAGAAATGGGGAGGAAACACACAGATGTAAAGCTAAAGAGAGTTTCACTACTTTGGAAGTCTCATGACTCATGGAAAATAGCTGTGGCATCAGCGGTTTAACATTTAATGGCATCGTAGCATTAACTGTTACAGTAAATGCAGTTGTCTGAGGTGTAATGATGAATCTATCATTTACACTATATACTCTCACTCTCAATTAGAGCAGTTCACACTAAATCGTTCTCAGATGCTTGCAGTTTCTTTTCCTTTTTTTCTAGTTGTGGTTTTGTAATATTTCCCCTATTGTAAATGCAGCGTGTGCATGTGCACATTTTTAATTGCCTCAGTCTGGTTTGCGTGTGTCTGGGGGTTGTGGCCAGTTTTTTTTTTTTTTTGGGGAGGGGGGGGGGGGGGGGGCAGATGCTGGTGTGCATGCATGCCTGTGTGCGATCATGTGTGATTATTCTGTCATTTCATATTTGAGGAGTTTTTTTTTTTTAAATACAATGTGTGCGTAAGTTTGGATCGCTTGCTAACCCTTCAGAAGTGGTACAAAAATCATATATAGAAAACAATAGGTATAGCATATGGGATGGACAGTGAAGCATTGATCAATTATGGAAATGTGATTGGATCCTGGAATTTGTTCTTTATTCAATTCAATTTAATTTGTCCTGTAAAAGTGAATTGGTCTATATGTTACCAGCAATGTGTGAAATCCTGGTATTGTGTAGAATGCCTAGGAAATGTATAGAATGCCTAATGGTTTTAGGCAAAATATGAAATATCACATTTTTGTAAAGATTTTGCATACTTTTCCTACACTGAAAAAAAAATATGTCTGCAAAATTGTCGCAAACAATTTATACGGGTTGAATTTAAACAAACAAATTAAGTTTAGTAATGTTTAACTTAATTTTTTTTAAATTCATCCAAAATTTATTCGTTTGTTTAAACTCATCCAAAATAATTTGTTTACAACCACTTATCTTAAAAAGATTTTGAAATCCAAGTAGTCGTCTTGGAATAATTGTTTTCATTGTACGCATTCTATACAATTCCTAGGCACTATATTGAATGGCAAGTATCATTTAGGCAACGTATCAGAAGAGCACAACAAAAGCCTTTATTGATCATTAACTATTTTAAAGTCAAAAGATTACAAAATAAAGCATATGATGTTCTTACAGAACAAAACAATGACAGCAGAACTGAGAAAGTATTTGGTACTATATCGTCTGTGATGTGGTAGTGGAACCTCATATCAGCAATATGCTGTCTTACAGTAACATTCCCCAGCAAACAATTGTGTGTTTGATAGAGGTCTAATAGACATCTACATGAAGACAGCTTGGCTAAAACAAGGCTAAAATTGAGCTGTCAGTAAAAATCTAATAGACTTTATATGTGTTGTGTGTAGCTTATATGTGTGATGACTAGTCATGTTTTGGCCTATACTTCTTTTAGATTTTAAGTGACAATACAAATTTTGCTTTGTTTTCGCCAAGACAACTATGTTTAGACGTCTATTAGACATCCATTAGACATCTTTTAAAAACAAAACACTCACGTCCTTCGATATAATCAAAATAATATAATTATAAATATAAATGATATAATCAAAAACAATGACCCAAGCGCCACTTGGGAGTAGGCCAGTTACATACTCTGCCGCACGACAACTCTGCATTTTATAGAATGCCTAGGCAATGTATAAAGTTACAATCATTTCACACTTGACGTTCGATTTTAGGCATTCTACACATTTCCTTGACATTCTATAGAATGCCAGATTTTACACATTGCCAGTAACATATATACAAAATAAGGCCCGTAGTCAGAGGGGTTTGGGTGGTTCGAAAGACCTACCCTTTACTGATAAAAGTCCAGAGTTTGTTCCATACACAAGCTCATTTGTCCTATTATGACTGCTATGTCATAATAAATTGTAAAAATAACCATCGAAGTCCTCTTTTGGCTGTTGCTTCAGTGTGACTGAGGAAAGTTGAATGTGGTCATCAGTTTGTGTTTGCCTAATAAATGAAAATAGGCTAGTTTTTCATTAAAAATTTGAACAGCATTTTTTTCCCCGATTATATGTGACGTAATACATTTGTATTTGAATAATAAGTATTATTATCATATATATATTTTTTTTTTCTTATAAATCTTTAGAAAATGTTTTTGGTACATCAAAAAGTGTGCTTGATGACTATCTGACAAGCTAATGCTGCAAAAAATAGTGCTTAAAAATTATTTAAAACTTCATAATTAAACTACAAAAAAGGTTCATAATTAAAAAAAAAAAAAAAAACCCTTTCACCAGGCTGGCTACAGGCCTAAATATATAAGTTGTGACAAATATGTGTATGATTTTATTTGTACATTTTAGTACGATTTGCTCATCTCCCAATAAGTGATAGGGTTGATTGTGTTTCCTTTTAAAAATAAATTATGAATGAAATCGTATGAATTTATATGATCTAGACTTTGACAATAGTTGTTTTAAAGTAAAATAGTTATCCAAAAGTAAAACAATTACCTTTACTCGTGAGGTAGGGCTATTTATTTAACATATTTGTTTCTAAAATGTTGCATTTTCTACTTATTTTGTCTTTCAGAATCTACCACCATTCCTGACACTGCAACGCCAACTATCCCAGCTCAGGAGGAGACAAGCACAGCACACAGAACGCCAGGTAATCAAACAGACCACTTTTACTGGCAGAATATACTGCTGTAATGAGCAAGCTCAGATCTCATAGAGTGGAAATCAATATATCCAATCAGATCAATGCGTATATAAAGACTAAATAGGAACATCTAGTAGAGCACGTCTCGTTCATTAGTGTTTATATAAGCAGGCATTTCAGTAGATCATACATCCACTTGTATTTACAGTACTCCGCTGCGTAATTGCAGCCTTGGTTTTCCCAGAGCTCTAATAACAGATTGCCGCCCCTCCATTTGTGCACACTTATGTGTTGATGAGTAGAGGCTCGCAGCATGAACGCTAACATTATGCTAACTAGCATAGCAGCATGCCTTTTCGATGGATGGCTGACGGAGGCCCACTAAATGCTGAGGCACAGAGCATCATGTAGATGAGACTGTGCTGGAGTCTGTCAGTGTCTGCATGTTAGCACAGCACTGGCAGCAGTATGTGTGCATACAGTGATATACAAGCAGACGGTAAACTGTCTGCTACAGTGACATGAGAATCTGTGCACATTCTGTATACTATAAGCATGCACTTAGATGTTAAACTGTCATATGCAGTAAAACTGGAAGATGTTTTCAGTAATCACAAGTGGTCAGATGACAGGAATTAGCATTTCTACCTGGTATTAATATGTGCTCTCATGCATGTGTTTCTATTTAAGACCCTTCTCTCCTTTTCTGTCAAGCTCTGTATTACTATTTTAGCACTAGTGCTATTAAATGAACAAGCCAATGTCACGCAGCTTATGGATGGGTACTCATGAAAATGATTGGGCAAAAAAAATTGAAATGTCTTTTAAAATAAAATAAAAAATAACATCAATTTATATTTTATTATAATAAACTACAATATACAGCAGCCACATGTCATGTATCAAAGTAAAATACTGTATTTTTGTGTACTGTATTTTGTTAAATAAATAAAAAAATGCTTTTAAATAAGGGAACATGAAAAATCTTTGATTAATTTGTTCACTATTACACTACCGCTGATCACCATATTTAGTACTGATAAATTTTCTGTTCAGAAAACTACTGTAAAAGCACCAACCAGATGCGGAATGTTCTATGATGTCATCATTTAGGCAAGGCAAGGCAAGTTTATTTATATAGCACATTTCATACACAGTGGCAATTCAAAGTGCTTTACATAAACAAGAATAAAAGAAACAAGTAAAATAAAAACAAATAATAAAAATGAGTAAAAAAAAACATAAAAACGGGTAAAATGTGATATAAAAGAATAAAGAAGAAGAGAAAAACATAATAGTACAATCTGTCGGACGCAGCACAGTGCTCATTCAGTAAAGGCACAGCTAAACAGATGTGTTTTCAGTCTTGATTTGAACATGCCTATTGTTGGAGCACATCTGATCATTTCTGGAAGCTTATTCCAGCAGCGAGGGGCATAGTGGCTAAAAGCTTATTCACCCTGCTTTGACTGAACTCTTGGAACTTCTAGTTTATATGATCCTAATGATCTGAGTGATCTGTTGGGTTTGTATTCAGTGAGCATATCTGAAATGTATTTAGGTCCTAGGCCATTTAGTGAATTATAGACAAGTAATAATACTTTAAAATCTATTCTGAATGTAACTGGGAGCCAGTGTAGAGACCTGAGGACTGGTGTGATGTGCTCTGATTTTCTGGTTCTGGTCAGAATTCTGGCTGCAGCGTTCTGGATGAGCTGCAACTGTCTGACTGTCTTTTTGGGAACGCCAGTGAGGAGTCCATTACAGTAATTCACCCTGCTGCTGATAAAAGCATGAACAAGTTTCTCTAAGTCTTCACTGGAAACAAAGCATCTGGTTCTTGCTATGTTTTTGAGATGATGAGTTGATTTAAACTTCTTGCAAAGTATTTTAAAAAATACCAGACACAGGTATTTTGCTAGAAAATATGATGCCATATTCCTCAACCCTATCAAATGCAATTGACAAAATACTATTTCCTTTTTGAAATTCAGTACATATTCGAAATACATGTATGAAACGACCCATCCCTGTAAACTACTACAGTAATTAAATTATAATGCATGTGTTTTTGCTACAGCGCAGCAAATAATGAATAATTTATTTTGGTGCGCTTTCTCACAACACATCCCATTACAGGGGCATTAGGTAATAATAGGAAATCAGTCAAAGCAACTAGCCACCATGTTCTGGTTCCTTGAAAACTAATTTCCCCCAAGAATAATTTCCTGGTTGCATCCCCAGCTCCAGCTGGAACTCTGAAGTAACATAAGCTGGCAATGAGTGACATCAAGCAATCCAGCAAACAATTTTGTGTTTAATAGAAGTCTAATAGACATCTAAATATAGACAGCTTGGCTGAAACAAGGCTAAACCTGGGCTGACACTAAAAATCTAATAGACATCTAAGAATAGCCCAAACAAAAGCCTTTTATGTTCATACATGATATGTCTCCTATATAGCTCATATCTCACTTTGGCAACTGCCATGCATGATGCCTTGCCTATAGGTCAAAAAAGAAATGTATAGCAAAATGTTTGTCTTTTTTTATTGTTGTTTTTTGACCTTATTTTTGTTCTTGTTCTATATTTATTTCTTGTATTATTTGATTAAGTAAATAAAATGTAAATTTATTTTAAATAATGTTGTCTAGCAGCTGAATTTTAATAATTTTACTAACATATAAACAAACATATATGTACATATTTTAAAAACAAAAAAATGCTTGCTCGGAATTCATTAAACTAAATTAACAACTGAACTACAGAATGGAGGATGGAAACTATGTGATGTCTTTATGTTGTGTATTGTGTAATATAAGTTGTGCAATTGAAATCTCGAATAAGAGGGCTAAAAATAAACCTAAATATTAATAAGGCTTTCTCAGAAAAAAATATATTTTTCAGAAAATATATTTTCCAAAAAAAAAAAGAAAAGAAAACGTTGCAAACGCAACAGCTAAATGCTCCTAACATTACCTTGTTCTATGTGTTTATCTTGTAACACTTAAAAAACTGTGTATTTTGTGTGCCATTTATTTTCTAAAATCAGCATTTTAGTGCCTATTGCTTGTATTACACTCTGCACTAGGAATCTGAGTTCCTGCAAATGCAAACTTCCCAATAGTTTGTACTTCCACTAGTAGTTCTAAAAACAATGAAAATGTTCCTTGTGTATGAAAGCCCCTGATATTCACATGATAGCTCAGCGGGCATATGGTAGAGTAGTGGTTTTGTGACTATTTTTTTTTTCAGTTACTGTATAAAAGCAATCCAATTGAATAGATTTGGATATAGATGTCATGAGACAGTAACATGGGAGAACCTACACCAGGGTCTGCGGTCATGGAAAATTAGTATAATCTGTTTCTCTCTCGTTTTCTCCTCAGCTCCCACTACTCTTTCGTCTCTGGGTGGTCTGTGTGACTTTGAGCAGAGTATGTGTGGATGGACCCACGACCCCATGTCTGATCTGAAGTGGTCTATGTATAGTTCCTCCAGTCCGAGTTTGGACCTGACACACGGACCTGATAGTAAGTCCATCTTAATAAAAGATATCGCATAACCTAAAACAAACTAACAAATGTTTGCACGGATCTCTGCAAGTATAAACAAAATGATTCATTTGGGTTTGCATTGGGAATATAGGGAACTCTGAGAAGACCTCTGTTGAGAAAATAAACTGTGTGACTTCCCTTGATCGCACCAAACAAAAGACTTTTTAGACCTTCCTTTGTCCTTGTCAGCTTTACCAGTCCAGACCCTCACACACACGGTCACCTCTCATTTTCCATCCATCCATCTCATTACTGATGTGTAATTAATGTGATAGTTGAAATCTGGGAATAATATCTGTCACTCTCTCAGCCTGTCCTCACTCTTCCTCTGGGAGTTTGTACATCTCCTCATATCCCTGAGCTTCGGTGACCTTTATTAACCCTGCATGAAAAAAAAACAAAATGATTTTGCGCACAACACAGACACAATAATATTAAATTTTATCTTTTATGAGGACTTACCATAGGCATAATGTATTTTACACTGTAAAAAATACACTTATGATACAGCCTCACCTTACCCCTTTCCCATAAATCCTAGATTTGAAATCCAAAAGACCATGTTATGGAAGATTTTTAAAAGTTTTGAATTTGAATTGCAAGGACACTTGCATGTCTTCATAAACCACCTGCGCATTATCATACCTAGGTCATACCCTGTCATTCATGCAAATCTTTGTCTTCATAGACCACCAAAACCAACACACACACACACATGCTGCTTCACAGTGTTCTTGAGAGCACTCTGCCCTTTGAGGCTGTTAAAACAATTTTGTGCTCTTTTCCATATGTCAGGTTTTAAGAGAGTTCCAGGAGTCAAGAGGAAAGAATCCTCTCCTGTTTTAACCATTCCCGAACCAAACCTGAGACTTTTACCTCTCTCTCTTTAACACCAGGGGTGTCATTTCACAATTCTTCTCCAAGCAAAACATGTAGATCCCCAATGCAAAAACGTCTTAGTACGCAACCTTGATTTTACATATTTAGGAGGATTGAGAATATGTTTGAATACAATGTTCACATGACATTCCTTGTGTTTTTCCTTCCAAAAATATTTAGTACAGTAGTCTCAGGTCTAGTGGCAAGAATTGACTACTAATGCAGAATTCAGACTACTCGATTTTCAAAATAGTCATGTCACAGATATTTTCACACTACATGACTATCTGGGCTGGGGTAGCATTTCGTCGCTGCTGTGTTTACACTGCAAGATTGGCGAGAGGGAGTTTCACACTGCATGACTTTACAATAGAAGGTTCGCCGACAACTTTGTCTCAGTACGCAAACTACATCTCACAACCAAACATGCGAGAAATGACATGGAAGAGGTATATACACAAGATAATGTAGTATATATTTTGTTATTAACTACATAATGAGAAAGAAGCCTTTAGTGAGGTAGAAAATATATTTTATTTTGCTCACCTGGGTTTGAAGGAAATCAGCCATTTCTCCTCAGCTTTTTTCTTTTTTAACCCAGTTGTGATATTGCTCAAATGACACATCAAACAGACACAGGTGCTGCTGCCAATCTAGTTTTTCCTCCATTTCTTGGGTCCAAATGGACCAAAAAAAAAAGCGCTTTTAACTTCTCCTCCATCCTCCTGCTGGTCTGCAGATACCCATTCTAGTAGATGCCGCTCTCTCATTGGCTATAGGTGATCGCCGATATTATTTTCAATCAGAACACATTCGCCAACAGGTCCAGATATTTAGCATACCCAATATCTCACGGGTGTCAGCGACTCATCTGTGATTCTCTCAGATTGTGTCTTTGATAGTTCACACTGTATGATTGTTAGTCATGTGAACGAGCACAGATTTGCCTGTGATTTTAGACATTTGTTGGCGATTTCTCAAAACCTGTTGGCAAGTCAAAATCGGGGCTAAAATCATGCAGTCTAAATTTGGCATAAGCCCAAGCTGGTAGATGATGTAACATAACATGTGGCCAAAAAGCTACCTTCCCAGTTAACTGTTTTTTTAATAATCTATAAATCAAAACAAACATTTCATCATATCACAGTAAATGTTTTGTGTGGTAGGCCATTCCTGCCTCAGAAAAGGAAGGAATTCACAAATAAGAAAAGCAGAAAGTCACCATTGTGAGATAAAGTTGGCAATTGTGAAGTTTAAAAAGGCTTCTACAGTCATGTTTTGGTTTTGTTGCGTAAAGTGTGTTTCTGGCTTCCCGGCGTCCCTGGACAGGAGCTGCTCAACTCATTCACTTTATAGCACAGTTCACTCCCATAAAACAATCTCAACATCACAGTAAGCCGTGTAGATCCCATGGCCCCTGGAACAGAATTGAGCATTCCAGAGTTTTCATACCTCCGTGTTTTAACTGGGAAATGGAAAAAAGGGGATCAGAAGGGGTTAATCCACAGTATGCTTAATTAACTCTAGAAGATTCCACTCAATAACAATAATCCCAGAAGTAATTTCCCTGCGCTCTGGTTACCTTACTAGCGCTTCAGCCTACAGTAAGCTAAACATTCTCAGAGCTACGGTGAACTTTCCCCGTGAAAAGGGTAATTAATTTTAAAATACATATACCCAGGATCAAACAGAAAATGTTTTTTTTTGCATTCATTAAATGCATAATCTATTTGGGTGTCTCATACAAGAAGACCAGCTATCTGATCTCTGATTTCAAAGCTGAAGTTGGGATTAGAAAATGTGTCAAAGTAGAGCAAATGGAATGAAATGGTTATGTCATTTCTCCATACATCTGAAGGAGGTGAGAGCATTCATATTATAGCTGAGGCAGCATGGGTAATGATGATAATTTCTGGTGCCATGCTGTCCAGTCAGATCACTCAAAGTGTGTTTCCCAGCCTCCTCGCTGATCGCCATTTTCCGCTCTTCCTTACCTCTCCATCATTTTTCTTCCATTTCACTGAGACGTCCATGGCATGTGGGATGTGACACAGATTGTGTTGTGAAGACTCTTTCCTTTGAAAACAGTGGGGATGTGCTTTTTTTGTCTGAGCTTTTTTCTACTTCCACTTAAAAAAAAAAAAAAAAAAAAAAAAAAACATCAATTATTTATTACTTAGCAGACATAGCATTACCAGAATGAGTAATGCAATATAACGGCAAACAGAATGGAGAACTCAGATTTGTTTTACAGTGATTTCACTAAGTAGGGCATGTTTCTGTATCACACTTGTCTAGAAGTTGTCTGGAAGTGAATCTGAAGACTTGGTTAGCTGGTTCAGGTTAGTTTAACTGTCGTTGGAGCTAAGTTCGCAAGGAAAAGGGTTGGATGCTCCTCAGTTTTAAGGGTTTTAATTTGGGGAAAGGGTATTTAATCCTGCTCTTAAACTATTGCATTTTCAGACACGTTTTTATTGCATTGCAGATAAACAATCTTCATCAACATTATACATTCATTCATTATTTTTCCTTTGGCTTAGCCAACCTATCCAGCATATGTTTTACACAGCTGATGCCTTTCCAGCTGTAAACCAGTTCTGGGAAACACTCTAGCATTTACATACATACATTAAGGCCAATTTAGTTTATTCAGTTCACCTATACTGCATGTTTTTGGGCTGTGGAGGAAACCAGAGCACCTGGAGGAAACCCACTAGAACATTGGGGAGAACATGCAAACTCCACTCAGAAATCGCAACTGATCTAGCAGGGACTCAAACCAGCGACCTTTTTGCTGTGACGCTTTGTGTGCTAACTACTGAGCCACTGTGTCAACATTATATATTTAAAGTAAATATGCATAAAATATGACCATTCACACCCAATGGGTATGCGCATATTTTGCCATCATGCATACTTGCAGTCTACCGCTCACCAACAGTACAATGTGAGGGGCATGATGAATCAGAGAACAATTCACAGATCAATTGTAGATAGCTGCACCTCCATTTTCAAAAATTTCCATTTTAGTCGGTTTGTGCTGAAACAGAATACCAGCGTTTCCAAACTAAAACCCAGCTCCCACTAGTAATCCTTTATGATTGTAGCTTGTCAGACTACATGAATAAGATTCCCATGCCCGACTATGAGATCTCAGTTGTCATAATGTTTGACTGAATGACAATCAAGACGTGCAGGAACATGCATAAAAACTCATCCATTGTTTGATGCCATCCATCTGTGACCCAGGTTGTGAAATAATACTAATGTAAACGATCATTAGCATTCATTTTTAATATAAAAAAACCTGGCATATCTCCTTGGTGGTTTGAAGTTGCGCTGATTGTGTTATCAAATTCTGCACTTCTATTGGTTTAACACTCGTCATAGCCAAAGTGCATGGGAAGTGTCTGAAATCTTCTAACACTACCAGAACTTCATAAGAGGGAAGATTTGATTGCAAAAACTATTAAGAGGCTATCAGTGAACATGTCAAACCAACGATCAAAGACCACAGATTTTAACCTAGTATGACAGGAATATTTTGGGATTTCCCAAATGTGTCTTAGACAACCAGATTGTGGAGCAGGTCATTAAACAAATTCTTTCTGTGGTGGTTTGAAGTTGTGCTGATTGTGTTATCAAATTCGACACTCCTATTGGTTCAGTGCTTGTCATAGCTGAAGTCACATTGCAGGGAAGTGTCTGAAATCTTTTAACACTGCCAGAACCTCCCCTTAGGAAAGATTTGACCACAATAACTATTAGGAGGCTTTTGATGAACATGTTACATCAATGATCAAAGACCACAGATTTTAGCCTAGGATGACAGGAATCTTTTAGGATTTCCCAAATTTGTCTTAAGCTTTGCTCACAGTGTGAGATTTTGGCCGCGATTTTGTCATCTGAGACAAATTTGGGAAGTCCTAAAAGATTCCTGAAATTTCAGACACTTTCCTGCAGTGTGACAATAGCTGTGATGTCCAAGAACCAATAGGAGCTCTGAATTTTATGATGCTTATCATGGACAATTGAAATGAACGTGGGGAAATGTTAAAACATTTTTCCTTCCTGGTTTTATTATTGAGACACACCGTGTGCAAAATTGCCGCTACAGATTGTTTACGTTTGGTGTGAGGAATTATTTCAAAACGCGAGATAGTGAAAGTGTCGTGGATGGATGAAGTCAATCTCCAGGAGAGTTTTCTTCCTGGTTTGGTCCATCTTTAATCTGACATTATGACGGTTGAGATCATACAGTGTGACATAAGAACTATGTTTGTGCAGTCTGACATGTGACAATCGTTCAGGATTATAAAAATTCTCACAGTATGAGCTGGCCTTTAGACAACCAAATTGTGGAGCAGTTTTAAACAGGGTCATTCTTGTGGGTCAAAGATGACAGAATAATGTGGACAACAGGTGTGAACATATGCGTTTAAAAAAAAAAAAAAAAAAAAGCATTAGTGTAAGTGCCACCTTGGAGGGACAATGTCCTGTAGAGTTTATCTCCAAACAACTCCAACACATAGGGTAATTTCTAGTTAGTCTAAAGACTTTTGTCAACTTGTTTAGGTGTATTCAGGTTTGAGTTATGAATCTCTGATGAACTAAAGATGTTTAACTTTGTGACTTGTTTCATTTTTGCTGCAGATTTTGGGAATTTCCTGTATGTGGAAGCGAGTCCCATGTCAGAGCCTCAGCGGGCACGTTTATTGAGCCCATCGGTGGGACCCGAACGGCGTCTCGTCTGTCTGCTCTTCTACTACCAGCTTCGGGGTGCAGGTCAGGAAAGTCTTCGTGTGCTGCTGCGGGACGACGACCAAGAGGAAACTCTGCTTTGGACACTGAAAGGAGACCAGGGGTCCATGTGGAGGGAAGGTCGCACCATCCTGCCTCAGTCCCCTAAAGAATATCAGGTACATTCACATTAATAAGCTATGAGAGTTTATACCATGCTAAAGATTGACTTGAGAAGAATACAAGTTTAATTTCCTTTTTTTGTTTGTTTTTAAATTGAAGGTTGTGATCGAAGGATTTTTTGAGCGTGGCAGTCGAGGACACATCCGGATTGACAACATCCATATGAGCTCCAGCATTGATCTTGAGCAGTGCACACGTAAGTATCAACAACTGGAACTCTCTCTGTTTCTCTCTTTCAGCCGTTACCCACCAAATTTGGCACTGGGGACCAAGTGAACACATGCCAGGCACCAAATGCAAATAAAACTTGTAAATAAAACGGGAATCTCATCAAGTTACTAATTCAATTCAATTCAGCTTTATTTGTATAGCGCTTTTACAATGTAGATTGTGTCAAAGCAGCTTCACATAAATGGTCATAGTAGCTGGAACAGTGTGGTTCAGGTTTTAGTGTTTAAGTTCAGTTCAGTTTAGCTCAGTTCAGTGTGATTTAATCATTACTGAGAGTTCAAATACTGAAGAGCAAATTCATCGATGCGTAGCTCTACCAATCCTGAACCATGCGAGGCAGTGGCGACAGCGGAGAGGGAAAAAAAACTTCACCTGATGGGAGTGAAGAAAAAAAACCTTGAGAGAACCAGACTCAGTTGGGCACGACCATTTTAATTTCTCCGCTGGCCAAAAGTCTACTAATATTAAATACGCAATTAGGTTTTATTATTTACATTTTTAGGAATATTGGTTTTTATTTTATCAAATGTGTTGTACGAAACCAATCGATTCATTCTGACTATATTACAGTGGATTTCCATGCCCACCCTACTCAAGCCTAAGAAAAATTAATCACATGGAAAGTGTTTTTCAAGTACTCGCCTCACACAAAAGCCGAAAACTAGGCCACAGTCACCCTGTGGGCTCTGATCCCAATCTATGTTTCATTAGTTTCTTTTCCTTCTCCTCTCTTATTTGTAAACAGAGCTTTCCAGAGCCATGCCAGGGAATAACCAGGCAGCCGCGCTCTCAACAGTGTAGCTTTTCACAAACAAAGAACAGACATTAATGTAAAAAAAGCACCACACGGCCAGTCACTTACAATATTACGAAGGTTATTTACAGAGCAAAACATTGCTTGTCCTCTGAGGATGTATGACTTATTATATTTAAACACTGATCTGCAAAGTAAGATTAGTTTTAAATCAAGATATCAATGCGAGTTCTCATACGTGCTTACATTGAGTCGCTCACGTACACACTTCCACCACGGGCCCGAGCTTTGGGACTGCTCTTATTAATTAAAGCTGTTCGGCGTGTATGCGCCAGTGCCTGAATCGCTGCCAAATCTGTCCCCTGTCTCTCTGCAGAGTTTCCTTTTAAAGTGACTGCGTTCCAAACATTCTGAACTGGCATTCTGTTTTTCTGGCATTCTGGAGTGTGTGTGCAGCGCAGTTTGCCAAATGACACACAGCCCAATCCCATTATCCTTCCCCCTTCACTCTTTCTGTCTCGTTTTTTTTTTTTTCTTCTTAACCTGTGTGTCTCGGTTGAGACATTTCAAAAATGTCTCTGTAATGAGTTAAAGGTTTTCTGGGAGTTATAATTTTCTATATGTTGTTGAAGTTGATTTTAATGAATATCATGGAGGGATTTGCCTGTCTGAAAGATAACCGTCAAAAATGTGTCCTGAGTAAGATTTTGGAAGTTATTGAAGCAGTTAATATCACTTACAGCGCATAAAAATTAATTTTGTAAAGGATTTAGAGCTTCTGAGTGATTTATTTGTATGATATTAATCACACACAGCCACGCGTGTCAGGATTCCATCTGCAATGTTATTCATGTGAACAGATTTTATTGGTGCCAGTTTATTTTTTAATCTTTTCTTCCCCCCCTCTCTCTTGTTTCAGAACCCTTTGCTGCATTCCCTCCTGAAATGACTGGTGAGTTTCTGGCATATTGTCATTTCCTGTGCCAATGTTTGTGCTTCCTGCTTGTTGCCTAGCAGCTTGCATCACCTGAAGGGCTTTTGATAATCATTGTATTTTGTTTAAGCTTTACACCAGCAGCACACTGGGATTCTGTACAGTCTGTTTCCAATTCCACAAATCAAAAGTTTAAAAGAATCCGATTCTGTGCCAGATTTTGTGTGTGCAGTTGTATGTTCAGTGACGTTGGTGCTTTGATGTCAAACCATTTCCATCATTACAGTTATTGTCCCCACCATCAGTTTTGCCATATATATATATACATATTTATATATTTGAAGCATGGGCTGTATCCCAGCATGCATCTGTAGCCCACATCATGTTGTGTGTTATAGTGTTGGGTCATGCTAAACATCATCAAATGTGGCCTGTAGATTCCGTTGGCATATAACCTATTCTATGTAAGATTCTTAGTTCTTAGATCTTAGTCATGGTTTCAACATACATACATCTAAATATTGGTATTATTTTCATTAAATAATATTAAATAATTATGATCATTATTATTATTGGGGCATATTCATATTGATAATATTTTCCAGGGATAATAATAATAATAATATATTATTTTTGTCAAGTTGTGAGCATTGCACTGGTGGTGTGTGTGAGCTGCTGAGCTGCTATGAATATTATATGTTTATTCCCCAACAGCTGTATGATTGCGGTCAATGAGATTCAGCTGCAGTGGAATAATCCTCCATTTTAAATGATTGTGGAGCGCACAAGCACACTGATAACATATTCCTTTAGTAACTAACTCCCTTTCTTTTAATTGAAGAGGAAATGATTCCCAGTGCAAGTAATATTCATTTTCCCATAGCAGTTTCCCAAAGAGTTAGAATTCCTAGATTACATGCGTGCTTTTGCATAGACGAGATTAACTTGAAATGAAGGGAATAGAAAGAGTGATTGGTGAATGTTTATGTGTATGTGTGTGTGTGTGTACATGTGATGGGTGAGCAGTTTTCATGCACCGCTGGGTTGGGTTCATGGAAGACTTTGGCTTGAGGCAGATGAAGTTGGCACAGATCCATTCCTGAAAGAACACAAAACTTTCCCCCTAGAAAGAAAAACCTCTGCACACACTCTCACCAATATACTATGTTATAAAAGAGAAAAGGTGCTGACATCAGCCTATGTCTTCTTACACAGTAAGGTTGCATATATAAGTAGCACAGATTCCACAGAGAATCAGCACATCTCAAGGGAAGAACTGTATCTGAGATGTGTCATCTGTTCACACCCCATAAAACACAAATGTTTGCACTCCTAATATGATTTAGTAGGGTAAAACTCGATCTGTGTCCTTGCTAAGGGGCCGCGGACAGGCGACGTGCATGTGCATTTGCGTGTCTGTGTTTGTTTTGTTTGTATGCAGCACCAAATCAGAGCAAAATCATTCACGTACAATCCAAGATGGCTTGAAGCTATGCAGTCTGCATGCCTCTCTACCCCAAGCCAACTCTTCTGTGTCTCTCCACCAGGGGGAGCCTCAACTAGCTGGAGCAACCCCACTGTTGACACGACAGTGTCCCTGCAGCCCATGCCCACTTACTGGTATTACGTAATAGCCGGAGGTGGAGCCATTTTCCTCCTGGGCTGCATCACGTTGGTCATGGTGTTGTGTTGCCATCGCTACCACCTGGCGGCCAAGAAGAGCCAGCACTCTGTGTCCTACCAGAGCACATACACGGGACAGTATACAGGCAGCGGTGGCACCGGCGGTCTCGCCGGGTCTGGGGTAGAGCCGATGCTCACGATTAGGTTAGAGAAGCAAGAGCCCTGTTCCCAGTGCTGAGAAGACATGGATGAATCCCTTCATCCCTCGAGGACACCAGTGTGGTGCCCCTCAAAGTTAAGAATGATACGAAGAAGACATGAACACATATAAGCACCAGTGTTGACAAGTTTTCTGTGACTCTGTTGTGGAGCTCCAGAGCTCGGAAGGAGGAGATCTGCTGTGCCGAATGGACATCCAGCCAAAATCCTGATTTGCAGGGACCTCCTTTTCTCTCTCTTTCTCTCTCTCTTTCTCTGTGTGTGGATGGGAACCTAACTGTGAAAAGCTCTAATCTCCTGTTCATGACCAATCCTATTGTACAGTCAAGAGAACTCTGCAGCATTGGCAGACTCCAAAGAGAGCTTGCAAACAGTGGCAGAAGGGAGGCAACGTAACAACCAGGAAACTTTTCTTTGCACGTGCGCCGCATCTCATGTGCACACAAGAACACTTGAGGAGTTTGACAAGAAGCTTAAAAAAGACAAAAGTATGAACACTCTGGGACAAAAGTACTTGCTGGAGATATGTCAGGATATGTGGGGAAGGGTTAGTGCCATGTTAATGTACTGAATTGTTAAACTCCTGGTACCCTCTACAAAGTGCTTACATTATGAGGACTGGTCCTTTTATCTTTCTTTTGTAGCTCGGTACAGTAGAGCAATGGATTCGGTCTGTTCCAGTAATCTGTTTGGTCTTCTTTGACTATTGAATGAAGCTTCTTAAAAGCATTTTGAAGGCTGTTTTCCTTTTCCCAGAATCTGTCAATATGTGTCTATATATAAACTCTTCTTTTTCTGAAAGTCACTGGGGCTTTGGCACTTACAGTACGTTTAAAGAGATATAGTATGTTTTCTGCCTATATGCAAAGGTCACATGACCCTGCCTTAGCCAGCCTACTTCTCTGATTGGCCGACTGACTGACACAACATTGGCCTTAAGACGTTTCAGTGGCATTGGGCTAGTTCAAGCCGATCACTGTTCTCATTTATTATTTAATCCTTTCGTATTCATGCTCAGCTGAGATAAACCGAAGTGCAAATGCAGCGAACTGATGCACTGACTTTATTTTTATAGCCAATACTAAAGCGGTGTGTGTATTTGTGTGTTGTTCCCCCTGAGATTTCGATTACACATAGTCTTGTAAAAGAGCAGAAGAGAAAAGCTTTGTAAATCTGCCAAATGTCAGACGGTGCAGGAGTGCTTTGCTAGCTGATTTTGCTTCAGGGAGTGAGTTGGCACATTAGCATGAGCCCATCTCCAAGTCCACCCTCTATAGTGTCACTCAATACACCTGCTGATGTCTTACTAAATCTATTCAATCTCTTATCTGCAATTTAGGAGGCTTTTTTGCCCTTTTATCAGTCAAGGGTTTTATTTATTTATTTTTTATTTTTGTAGATAAAAAGAACAATAGCGTTTTGTTTTAATAGCATTATTTGCATATGACAATCTTGCTGCAGATTTGTTTTTGTGTATCAAAACATCCTATATATGTAGGTGAATGTTTTAAAATGCACTTCGAAATCCCAGTTTAAGAATTTGCTTCATGTGCTACGTGAAACTTAGTTGTATACCTCAAAAAAATGCTATGATCTTAGATGTCATGTCCAAGTACATAGTGTTCAGTGTTCTCCTCTTTGCCAAACAAACACATAAAATAAGCACCATCAGAGCTCAGGATGGAAATTCCCCCAACAAAACATTTTCTTCTTTACACATAAAGAGTCTGAGGCTTCATCCATTACTGAAAGCATCTGTCAGGCGGGCGCGTCAGATTTTGGCTTCATCTAAAGCAACTGGGATGAAAGGAGAAAGTAAATCCTGATATCTTGTTATGTCCTCCATCTGGCAATAGGTGAAAATAATCCCCCATCACGGACGGCCTGGCCCTTTCTTGCCCGTTTATCTGCTCCTCGCTAAAGAATGTGTGGGGAGATGGAAGGCGAGATCAAAGAAAAGGCCTGCTCTAAATTTAGAACTTCTCTGCAAAATCCAGGGTCTGAAGGGGTTTGTTTAAAACACAAAAGCACATGAAAGATCCCCACAGACAGCCAGAGAGACCACCTGACCCGGCAGGCTCATAACGGAGCATTGTCTCCTCTTTTCCCGGCTAATCCTTTATACAGTAGAATGTGTTCTGGGACACACGGCGGCTTTTCATGCGAGACGTCACTTCAGTTTCAAGTCTTCTTCAGTGATCCCAGTAGCACTCCCAGATTGTAAAAACTCGCTTGTTTTAGTTGCAATATGCAACACATTTTTTGAGTTTCTATGCCCCCCAATTGAACGTGTATCAATGCTAGTGTCAAAAATTGTCAAGTCTTGTCTCGTCTTCAGCAGCTATTTGATTCCTTTAGCCCAAAGTATTCTTCATTTTTTGATGCATACACAAACATCCAATGCAAAAACTTTTAAAGTATACTTCATTTCCCTCATGTGCGTATCTAGGCATTTGACCCAAGTTTCAGTATCTCTCCTGACCTACAGCATACCTGTCAACTCTTTTCCCAGGATTCCTCGTATTTTAACATTCTATCCCACTATCATCTCATGAAAGATGGCAGCAACACAAAACCGATTCTCCCTAAAACCATACTGTAGTACTGCCAAACCACCAGGGAGCCCCCTTGATCTCAAAACTGAAATAATGACAAGAGCTGTTCGAAAGAATTATGCTTTCATTTTATTTTATCTTGATTTTTATTTTGGCTTGAGAACACTTGATCATAAAAATGGGCAAATTCCCTTCTTTCCCATTCCGTCCCCCTGCCCATGAATCAGTCAATTTGTGTAATGGTATATGACTGGCTAATGCAATTTTAAAACAGTTTGTATTGTTATTATTTTTATTTAGTGGTTAATTCAAATTAATTTAAACAATCTTTTTCATACTTTTTAGTATGATTTACGTTTGGGGACACGCCGCCTTTAGAAATTTTTTTTTCAGATCAGGCTGGACTTCCGAAAACGCTTCATAGTTATGAAAGGATGCTCCTCCTCGTGCGACTTCTGATTTGATTTAAATCTGTGCATTGGGGCTTAACGTGACAATATTTAATGTTAATTAAACCAAAAATTAAAATGAAAAATTAATTATTCTTTAACTTTAATCAAATAGAATTAAATTTTGAGCCTGAACTTAGTAGAAGTATCTTAATAATGGGTGTAGGATTACCCCTATGTTACCTGGAGCAATCAATACAATCTCACGGCAAAACATAACATCATCATTAAGTGGATATTTCATACGATCTCATTCATACAATTTAGTACGATTTGCTTATCCCTTAATGACAGTTAGGTTTAGAGGCGGGGTTTGTTGCCATGCCATTTTTTATAAAAATTTACATTTTCATACTACTGAATTTGTACAAATTCCGAATTCATACAAATTAGCTACTAATCTAACGAACGTAAAATAGTTATGTTACCTCGTGAGATCAGGCTGGAGCAATGTAGGGCTCACAGGTATGATCTGCAGTTTTTTAATTATTTGCACAGTCATTCATCATCATAGCCATTTATATTTGTCTTAATGTACACCTGACCCTGACTGGTAGATTGTTGTTTTTCTTTGACTACCTTCCAATTTGAAGCAGGATTACTACAAAAAAAATTAAAAATTAAATGCGCATGTGCGATTTAAAAAGTGCACAGTTACTAAATTATACGCATACTAATCTGAAGACACAATTCATGCGTACATGTAAAAAGTGAAGTATACATTGGGCTTTACATTTGACATAAATGTTTCAAATCCTGGATGTTTGTATGCCTGTATAATAAATGTGTGAATTTTTATCAAGCTTTTAACAATCATGACTCTCTATTTAGTTTTCTTAGTCTATGTATTAATTTAATTCTTAGTGAAATATGAGTTACTTAAAATTACATGTGATCCTATGAAATGTTTTTAATCTACTGTGGCTGCTTTCTTGAGGTTTCCTTTGAACCGCTTCATATTTCTAATTAGGTAATGGACCAGATTACATTTTATTAAGTCTGTCGCAAGCATTCTTGCTGTCTCTCGAAAGATATTAATGAGCAAAAGCACTCAGAAGGGCCCTATGTGATGCCAAGAGTCTGTCTTTGATAGTACCTGCACAAAACAGCATATGCTCTCACTCCTCAGAGACCCAGACAAGACAAGGCGGTAGACGTCTAAAGCATAATGTCTGGAGAAACTGATTTTTTTATTATTATTATTGTGCAAAAATTACTCCAGGTTGTATACATTATATGTTTTTATCTTTAAAAAAACAGGTCAAATGTTTTATTTACAGAATTTAAAGCTGATTAAATCAGTTTGGTCTATTGAAGTATTTAATCATACATTTTTAATGTTCATCATGCTTAATTTGCATCAGTTTGACACACGTTCTGATAGGTTTATGGTTATGTGCACTTTTCTTTTGGTCCTTTGTGAATGTAGGGCTGTGACCCTGCCATCTGTATAAGCTGTTTCCTTTTCTCTTTTCGACGCAGCATTTTCAGCCTGTTTAAATACACACAGTATGAGGTATATTTTAGCCTGTTGAAATTTGTGGTCTTGGAAATGTTGTATGGAATGTTACAATAAAGTGATATTTTTCTACAAACTGCAGCTAAAGTGGTTTGTGCTCCTTTTTATTGGTGTTTAATGATGTAAAACAGACTTCATAGCTAAAACACACAAGTCTGCGTGATCATGGGTGTGCAGTGTTTGTTATGTTGGCCACTTTGCACTCACACTGCTGTTACTGACTCATGCTAAAATAGTGTACATGTTTTCTTGGAATATACCAACAAAAAAAGCTTGTTTTAATTCACCCTGAACTTATCTTGGGCATTGAGTGGTTCATTTGGGTTGTGTTTGTCTTCCAACAGAGCGAAGACCTGAAGACCTTGGGAATAATCGTTTATTCAAAGGGAGAGATCGCATTGGTCAAGGTAAATCTATTCATTAGCCTTCAAATGCAAACTGGGGTGTTTTGATAATAAACAAAGATAGAGTTTTAGACTAAAAGCACAAAAACACAAATGCGGGTGAAAATGAGTGGCCGCTGCATTGCAAACACACAATTCTGACGATATTAAGACCTGATTTTAGGAAAGACTTTTAAAATAAATCTAGCTTGGCACACTATTTATTTGATTTTTTTTTTTGTTTAAGTAAATATCTAAATTGTTAACATAAAACTATGTGCTGTGGTCCAAGCAAAATCAAGTTTATTGTCAATTAACTTGTGATTTTTTTTTTTTACCAAAATCTATTAAATTGATTAAGGAGATAAAAGCTAGTGATTTTTTTTTTGTTTACATTTAATCATTAAGCAGATGCTTTTATCCAAAAAGATAAGGACAAATAAGGACAATCAAATTAACAAAAGAACAATGTGTAAATAGAATTAACATTTCCATTTAGTCTAATGCAGTACTCAAATTAAAATTAATACACAATGTACAGTATAAAGAATATGGTGTTATTGTTGATCAGATTACAAAGTGTATGTATGTTTGTGTGTGTGTGTGTGTGTGTGTGTGTGTGTGTGTGTGTGTGTATGAAATGGTCATTACCTTTCATCAAAGTTGTCTTAAAACTTTTGAAAAACACCCATTCTGGTCCTAGGATAATTTTGAAAAACATTTTTGATTCACTTTACATGTTGATGACTGTACATGGCACACACATGAAAAATACCTATCACATGTATCCCACAAACATTAATTTCACATAGGTGCCAGAAAATTACGTCATATATATGCCAGAAACATTTTTCACATATATGTCTGAAACATGCATTTCGCATATATGCCAGAAACCTACATGTTCCATATATGCCAAAAACATACATGTCATATATATACCAGAAACATACATGTCACATATATACCAGAAACATACATATCACATATATACCAGAAACATACATGCCACATATTTGCCAGAAACATGCATGACACATATTTGCCAGAAACATGCATTTCACATATATACCAGAAACATACATGCCACATATTTGCCAGAAACATGCATTTCACAAATAAACCAGAAACATATGTCACATATACGCCAGAAACATACATGTCACATATGTGCCAGAAACCCAACATTTTCCATATATGCTAGAAACATGCATGTCACATACTGTATATGCCAGAAACATGCATGTCACATATATGCCAAAAACATGCATGTCACATATATGTCAAAAACATGCATTTCACATAAAACAAAAACATACATGTCACATATATACCAGAAACATAAATGTAAGATATATACCAGAAACATACATGTCACAAATGTGCCAGAAATATACATTTTACATAGATGCCAGAAACATGCATGTCACATATATACCAGAAACCTACATTTCACATATATACCAAAAACATTCATGTCACAAATATGCCAGAAGGCTGCATTTCACATATTTGTCAAAACATACATGTCACATATAAACCAAAAACATACATGTCACATATGTACCAGAAACACACGTCAAATATATGCCAGAAACACGCATTTCACATATATACCAGAAACATGCATTTCACATATGTATACGCCAGAAACATGCATTTCACAAATATACCAGAAACATACATTTTACATATATACCAGAAACATATGTCACATATATGCCAGAAACATGCATTTTAGATATTCCAGAAACATACATGCCACATATATACCAAAAACATACATGCCACATACTGTATATGCCAGAAACATACATTGGTAACACTTTATTTTGATAGTCCATTTGAGTATTTGTAGACTGTCTGCTTAATATCTGTTGATAGTGACATTTAACAAACCTTCAACAGGCATTTAACTGACTACAATAAATTTTGCAAGTACTTCAACTTATACCTGTCCCAACGTAACAGTCTAATAATAGTCTAAAGAGAATTAATAGGCATGTAGATGCAATGTAACTTAAACTCTACAAACAGACCATCAAAATAAAGTGTAACCCTTTGCCAGAAACATACATGTTATATAAATGTCAGAAACAAACATTTTACATTTATGTCAGAAGCATATCACATATATGCCAGAAACATACGCCACATACATGCCAGACACATACAGGTCACATATGTATCAGAAATTTACATTTCCAGCCAATCACCTGAGTTCAGTCCAATTGAGAATACAACTTAAAGATCAGATTTAGGTGAGGCAGTGTCGCAGTAGGTAGTGCTGTTGCCTCACAGCAAGAAGGTCGCTGGGTCGTTGGTTCGAACCTCGGCTCAGTTGGTGTTTCTGTGTGGAGTTTGCATAATCTCCCTGCCTTCGCGTGGGTTTCCTCCGGGTGCTCCGGTTTCCCCCACAGTCCAAAGACATGCGGTACAGGTGAATTGGGTAGGCTAAATTGTCCATAGTGTATGAGTGTGTGTGTGGATGTTTCCAAGAGATGGGTTGCGGCTGGAAGGGCATCCACTGCGTAAAAAACTTGCTGGATAAGTTGGCGGTTCATTCCGCTGTGGTGACCCCAGATTAAGGGACTAAGCCGACAAGAAAATGAATGAATGAATAAGATCAAATTTAATAGACAAGACCCACAGAACCATCAAGATTCTTACACTCTGTTGAAGTCTGTGTAAAACTCACACCTGAGCAAATCATGCGACTTTATTCTCCACATGAGAGATGTCTTTAGTCTGCCATCACCAAAAAAGACTTTTTAATAAAGTATTGAAAATGTGTCAGTAGTTCAGGACTTTCTCCTGTAATTCCATTGTTCTTACACATAACTAATGTTTAAGATTTAATTTGTTTAATAGTTTATTTTGATGTCTGTATTGTATTTGTCTGGTTCAATGTCAACAGCTCCTTTAGAAATATTATTGCCAGGAAAAAAAAAACATGACGTGTTCAATACTTATTTTCCCTGTTGTACGTTCAAAACAAACACTTTTATTTCAGCACAATCTAAATCTTTTTCTATGTCTTGCCTCTAGAGTATCCATTCCCTGCCTGGACCACACCAAACCCCTCACGAGACCCTCCGGTGACTCGTATTTCAGAGAAGGACAATGCCTGGCTCTACACGCTGGACCCCATCCTGGTCACCATCATCGTCATGAGTTCACTGGGTGTCCTGCTGGGTGCAGTGTGTGCAGGACTCCTGCTCTACTGCACCTGCTCCTACAACGGCCTGTCATCCCGCAGCACCACCACACTAGAGAACTACAACTTTGAACTGTACGATGGCATCAAGCACAAGGTGAAGATCAACCAACAACGCTGCTGCTCCGAGGCCTGAGAAAAAACACTCTGCCCGCTCGCCAACTAGTGCCGGCCTGATCCAAAACTGTGAATGGACCTCACATCACGCTACAATAGGGCTGATTTCTGACTGACCAGGGCTGTTGAAGAGGTGACGGCTGAGCGCTGATCAACACATATCAACCCAGTGACGTTCCCCCAAACCCTTTCAAGAAGAAAAGAACTCTAAAGAAATGTATATTGCTCTAGATTTGTAAAGAAAAATACAATCTAATAATGCTTAATGGAAGTTAGAAGAAAGAGGAAGAGGCACTAGGACTAGAAGACAGATCTCTTGTGAAATCCCGGCCTCCTTTTTAGTTTTAGACTTGTGTCTTAAGTTTCCATCCCATTCCGTTTTTCTGCCACTATCCACAAGCGTTTATAAATGTTTTGTACTTAAGTTCAAGTCTGTTCGTAGCATAATGTTTTTGTTGTGACCATTAGACGACGAGGACAAAAAAAAAACGCTGTATTACTTTCAAAACAAATCCTTTTAGACGGAAGTATTAGGACTGTCTTTTGTGACGCTTATTATTTTCTTCTCTGTTCTTTTGACGGTTTGATTTTAAGCACAGACTCTGTGCTGACAATTTCAGACTAATTTATCGCAACCTATGGATTGCTATGGATTCAGAGCCACTGAGCTAAAGAGTATTGTGAGAGTGGAAAAAGAGAGCGAGAGCATCTTCGGTTTCTCTCCTTCTCGTCTCTTCAGCCTGTTCTTGAAGCAACAAAAGACTCCGGTGAAGGAGCTGGAAAATCCCCAAGCCACTTTCATGTACAAACAATCGAGCCTTAAGCAAACTGTTTTGGAGGAGAGCCATTCTGAAACACCAGTCCTTGGGTTTTAAAGCCACCGGGGCCTCGGAAGAGTCAGGCCTTACGCTTGCTTGCTTGCTTGCTTACATTTCACCTGTCTGTTTACTCCGTGGTTTATTTTGGGCTGCTGAAAACGAAGACTAACAAGATGAGGTTTTGGGTGCAAGCCTGGGAGAATGGTGAGAACTTCACACAATGCTTTACCTGGAGGTGAAGAGAGAGACACACAGTGTGTGTAAAATTCCTTTATTGTACCTCAGACCGGCCTCTCGCTCCCCTGAGCCACGCTGGGAGTCCTGTTGACTTGTGGGTGAGCCAGGCGCGGGACGAGGGGCTTGTCTTAGCAGACGGAGACACGGACGGTTCAGCTGCTGGGGGAGACAGCGATAAAGAGGGAGAGAGATTGTGTGTTTTCAGCTCGGTTTTTCATTGGACTCTGTTGACTCTTTTCCAAGTGCCTTGGAGCTCTGGCCTGTTTGGGCTTTGCTGCAGAGCTGTGATAGTATTACCTCGTCTGTCTG